CCATAGACCCTTCCCAGATGAGACAGGAAGGAGCCCTCTGTAAAGATTCAGATGGAATGTCAATATTTCGATACCTTTCCCTGGAGTGCTGGAAATAATAGTCACAGTTGTAACCACTCAGAAAGAAGTATTCAGCATAGTCTTTATTGGGCTATTCGGACTCATCCAACACATGCATGAAGCCATGTATTCATGGAGAAATACATGGTTGTCTCTGATATAACTCTTTTATAGTTAAATGCATTATAGCATTTATAAAATTGTGCAAATAGTTTAGTCTATATCTGTCTATTAAGATCTGTTGGAATGGTGTTCAGCAAGGACTTGAAACGAAGACAAAATGGAATACCCAATATTTGTAAGAAATAATTTTCATCATAAATTTAACATGTGAATTTTACATGACACAAATCAAAACAATTTTTTTTCAGACTGCCGATATCTGATGAAATGTAATATTTTTACTGCATAATTCCAACATAAGACCCACAATTTCTGGACCACAAGTTAACTTTTGTAGATGCAAGATGTCTTTAACTTTTATGGTTTTTAATTGCAGAATTAGTGAAATATTTCAATCATGAAACTTCTTCAGGTGGCAATTCATTATTTTTTGAGAAATTGCAAAGAACTAATAAACTAATAATAAAACACCAGGCTTTTCTGAGTGCTAACACAACCTTTTCAAACCCTTTTTTGCTAACTTAATACCAACTCTTACTTGCAAAACTTTGAAAACATCCATTCACCCATGTCTGCTGAACAATTAGTTAGCTCTCTTACTTTTACTTTGAATGTTAAGTTAATCATCTACAGGAAGATCTTGAAGAACCACATTCCTTGAACTTACCTCTGCAACATTTCCTTTGGCCCTCTATCTTTACAGTCTTAACCCTTGTCACTTAACAGTGCTTGATTTAACAGTGCTGTGCTGACACTCTCAAAATGTACATTACATACAGAACTCAAACATTTTAAATACAGATGCTGTACAAGAAAATAGGTACAAAAGCTACAACAAGGCATTCCAAGGCATAACATACAAAGACAAACGAGAACTGGTAATTGAAACATAAACAATGCAAAAGAAAAAAAAGGGAATAAATTAAACCTAACCACATTTTTTCCTAATGTTCTTAATCAAAGTGATTGTTTCATAGGCCAACATTCAAATTGCTCTGACATATTTTGAAATTAAAACTGATATATAAATGCAAAGCATTATTATTATTATCGTTGCTGTTGTTGTTGTTAATAGTAATAAGACGTGCCTAATATTTCTCTATATTACAAAGAATACTACAGAAATATGACTTGTCTTTTAATATCACATAAAACCTACTGTGCAGTTATTAAATGTAAAAGGAAAGAGATTATAAAATTTAGGGCACTTACCTAATTCACAAACAGCAGTGGTCTTTTCCATTTTAAAAGTAAAAATGCTGTTTAGGTGCTTTGCAATCCCCAGAAGATCACAACTACTTTACTAGTTCTAGTTTTATGTATATTAGTATGCATTGTAATTAGTATACATACATTGGTATTAATAGTTCTAAATTTATACAATACATACATGTAAAAAAAA